TCGAAGAACTGGGCCCAGAGAGTTACTCCTTCTCCCTGATCAGTTACTTAGTCCACTTTGGGTAAGCTTTTTTAATGTGCCAGTTATATTCCATAATTGTGTGCTTGAACCCATTTATACTTCCAAGTATAGAGAGGCACTGTCGTGCATAAGACCCAAATACACTTTCACTCGGCCAAGACTGGAACCCAAACCTCTCTATCCAGTGTCTAGCGCGGTAAATAGAAGGAGCCGCCCATCTCTAAAATGCGCCTAACGAACTCGCCCATTAGCATGCTTAAGTCACATGAAAAGAAAAATTCGAAAAATATTTCACACTTAGCTTGACAAATACTTTATTTTATTGTTGGAGCATGGTACTCAAGGTTTGTTAGGGTATATCGTTGTTGTTTTTTTTTTATTGTATTTTTTTTTCAGCTTTGTTGTCGGTATTATTTTTCTTTGTTTTTTCCCTTTGAAAGAGAACGAAGAAATATCAAAGCAAAATTTATTTTCGAAGTAAACGTCTCAAGTTAAATAAAAATTGAAAAAAAAGGCAAAGTCACAATTGATTTAGAGTACTTAGCAAAAATCAGCCGGCCAGTAGATACAGCCAAGAAAATTACAAAATATCTAAGGGAAACTATATTAACGCGTAATGTTATGGTAATCGTATACCGTCGAGCTTTTCATGTCGCGTGCTTCAGCTTAAGGGCACGTGAATCCCTCAAGATACCCTTGTAGTAATTACGTATGTCGGAAATGTTGTTTATGCGTGAAAATATCGTAAAACAACACTACATATACATGTAGGGCTGTTTATCAGTAGAAACACTTCCGTAATATTCAATGAACACAAAGCTGACCAGTATGCAGTACGATTGTGTACCTTAAACCCTTTGTTTTTCAACATTTTGAGCTCGGTATGAATTGAAATAAAAAGTGTTTTGCTTTTATATACCTGAGAGATACACGCATGTCGCCAAAAGCATGATCTTATGCACTTGACTTATCGTCTGCCTAACACATACATCTTCAAATGTAACTACTTAGACGTAAATAGCTCTTAGATCTGTTTTGAAGATTTCTTTTTGGGAGCGTTAGAAACGTCAATGAAATCAAATCATATGTTTGCGAAATGAGGGGTATTTTGTCTGTCAGTGCAACTAAAAATGGCTTTCTTTTAGAAATTTTGCCACTGGATTATTATGTCTGTAATTGTCCGCGAGGGAAATCGTTGTTATTTTCAAAGTTGTGAAATACCAAACATGATTTATAGTCGGCAGAATTGCGTGGGAAGAAGGCGACGCCCAATATTACAAGCCTCTCCCATCCTGTTGCTTCTTGTTTCATCAATAAACGCCTGTGTTCAGCGGAGGCATGAATAAGTGAGTCATCCGAGTGGGCGTTGTTTTTTCTCTCCAGCTGTTTGTAGATGAAACCTATCTTCTTGGACGAGTTTCTTCGCAAATATCAATGCTGACTGATGTACATAGATACGGAATGAAAATGATCAGTTACATCGAGCAATGTGCGACTTAGTCTACGAGTCGAAAAAATAAAGGTTCATTAAGAATTAAAGAGAAATGCAACTTCTGCAATTTTTAGTTGAAATCATTTTACTTAAATTCGTTTTTTGTGGTTGTCAAATTTTGGTTTCTGAGTTCACATGTTTTTTGTAATATAAGCTAATCTGTAGTTTTATCAAAACTTAGCGTGGGACTTTGTACTTTAAACGGATGCTCTTGAAACTCACTCCAGTGTGACTCCAGGAAAATAAAATAGCAATATCCCAATTTCAGAATGTCTAGGAGTTAAGATTCTAATCTCGTGGTAATATTAGCTTGTCTGTGATCAAAACCCAGGATTGAGATCATGTAAACGAAAGCTCTGGGAAATTACTTTCATGTAACCCTAAAACAAGAAAAATATATTTTTCTTTGTCCCACACTCGTGACAAGACGAAAAAAAAAACATTTTTCTCTATTTCTTTACCGAACTCAAAACTTACCATCTCTCTTATTTTTTTTACAAACATTACGCTATCGACATTGCTGATCCTAGCAGTATGCAGGACGCGTGTCCAATGAACTTCGTAAAATAACTCGCTCACCGTGGAGTCTCAGTGGTAGAGCATCAGAGCGCGGAATCCGAAGGTCTGAAGTTCGATTCCTCATGAGGACTCAGAATCTTTTCTTTGTCCCACGCTCGTGACAAGACGAAAAAAAAAACATCTTTCTTTACGAAAAAAAGTTTTCGAATTCCAAAAATTTATGGTCACATTTATCTTTTTTTATGATAAGGGCCTTAGTTGAACTCCAACTTTTCATAAGTATCGACGTATATTCGTAAACTAAAGAAAACATGTACAATATTTTTTTCGTTTTCAGGCCTACCTTTACGACATTCGAGGAAATACATTTTGTCATCGGCTCACTGGTCACACAGACGTGGTATCTGAAGTAGCCTTTCATCCTGCACAACCTCAGGTGTTAAAGGAGCCCTGTACATTAAGATATACGATTGACACTTTTTGTATGTCTGACATAGCAGTGAGCCTTCATTACGCATTTGGCAATTGAATGAGGGCGAAGCGAACTTTTAGAAGCGAACTTTATCTGATAAAAGCTGTTGTAATTTTTATTTCCTATTAAGTTTAGATTGCATCCGATTTCGATTTTTTTGTAGCAGGGTCAGTTTTAGAGAACTTTCGGAGACGTCAAATAACCGAAAAATAATAACAAAATTTCAAACAAAGGTATTTCCTGTTTTTAGTTCGGAATCAATTACCAGCCAATACCGCTCCTCTTAAAAACCGAGTGAAGGAGGTGAAGAAATAAAATCAGTCAAAACTTCAACCCACATTTCGTTCTGCTGGTTGCGTCAACCCCATCTCTGACTAATCCGGTGATTTTGGAAACTAGAACATACAAGTAATTTTGCTTTCAATGTCTGCAGTCCTACATATAAGTCAGAGTTCACCTAGCGTAAGACAAGGTCGTGTATAAGCAGGCGGTACATGTATTAACTCAAGTATTTTTCCTTTTTCATCACAGCTTGTAACGGCTTCTCAGGACGGACGATTACGGTTTTTCTCCGATCACGGTTAACAGGTTTGAGGTAAGATGGCGATGTTTAACTGTAACGAGCGTTTTTCCTTTTTTTTCTTTTTGTTATTAACGAAATGTTTAATTGGTGAAAAGATTGGGATTTCTTTGGAAAAAGAAGATCAAATCTGAGTTTTGATTCGCCTACATGTTTTGATGTCGTCATGTTAAAGCCCCTTTTCAAGATGGGTGTCAACAGTCCGTTAGGTTTGAAAACTACTTTCTGAGGAAAAAGAGATTTTGTTTGAAAACAGTCTTGCTATTAACCTTAGCTCACATTGAATCGATTTAAAAAACCTATGAAATAAAATAACGTAATTTTTGTGGCAAGTTTTATAACTTGTCGAGTTACAGCAGACTGTGCATGGTAGAGAAATTTTTCTTAAGATTATTTTATGTTAAACAACACTAAAGTGATGTTATTGTACTAAGGGTAGTAATTTTTGGGCCATCTTATATTCGCGATAGTAATTTTTCTGCGAAAACTTATGTCCGCGATCGAGGACAGTCCGCCAAATGCACGGAAATTTGATCATGCAGAATTTTCATGCAACTCGTAATGTAGTGTTGGAGGAAGCTCGTGGTACGTAGTCATAATGTTCCCCAAGTCAAAGAGAACAGACGTGCACAACCCCGCTTCTTGAGATCGGCAACTGTTTGTTTGCTTTGTTAGATGTCACGTCTCCTAAAGTTTATCATCTAACTCTGATTTGTCTCTAACTCAAATATAATACATATGGAAAAGAGGACTGTTTAATTTTGTTGTTGTACCACCTGAAGACCATTGCCACATGGTTCAAGTAGGCTGAATGTGAATGCCCACGTTCCAACGTAACGGAACTTGTGGGCCGTTCAATCGCCGTCGTCCAACTCACCCTACAACTCTAACCTCCGCGGGTTTGTTTTCGATTAATTTTAAACGTATAAGAATTGCATGGTTTAATATCGCACTGTACAAAATTTCACGGTCAAATTTAGTAATCTGTGAAATGTTTCTGAGCCTTAAGCAATATTTGCTAGTCTTTCAAATCGATCTGAGAAGCCACAACTCTTCTTGAGGCTTGATTTCCGGTTGTGGAACTTCGTTTGATTTTCTCTTATCCCCTTTCCTGTTTTTTTTTCCTGTACTATTTCATTAATACTAGTCGTAACGGTGAGGGTCTTAAACTTTCCTCAATCTTTATTTGTCCCGGATTGTTTTTCTACAAATCTTCATTCCGAAAGCGAAAGTGTGATTTGTACTATAGGAGGAAGTTGATATTGTTGTTTACATGACATTCCCCCAAATATGGAATACCTGTGAATGATACCTGTCATTGATGCCCAAAAAAGGCGTGTGACGTCAGCCGTCTCGATGCTTGAACTTGGGGAAGGCAGGGAAAAAAGTCAAGCAATACTGACCGGCCGATGTTTCTCTCGTGAATACCGTTTTATCCTCTTTTATTGTTTGTAAAAGACATTGCTTGAGCCGTTTCAAAATTTTCCCGCGTACTTTTATACTGGCGTGACACTCTGCATAACAGTATCTGCAAGAATACGGACTAAAATCTGCGAAATCCCCGTTGACAGTCGGTAAGTTGTCAACTGATTAGAGCACTACTTCATCTACCTGCTAAACTTCGACAATGTTGCCACCTCGGACTTCCACGATTGAGTTTCCCGACTTTTTAAGAAGCGAACTATCTGGCGGACACTCGCGGCAATTCGTATTTCGTCCATGCCTTTGTCAGTCGGTTTTGAATTTCTCAACTTTGATTAGGAACGGATTTATGCAAGACTAGCGGGTTTTTTGTGTGTACGACTGCGCTTTAAGGTTTACGGTATTGCAGCCTTACGAGAATGTCAAACGATGCAATAGTTCATTCACCCCGTGTTAAATGTTTCTCACCTGAATCATTTTTCTCCTCTTTTAGGATGATAACAGAACGTGCACACGGAGTTAAACGCAAGCTTACTGAAATTGATGGCGATCATGAGGTGCATGGCCGCTGTCTTCAACGACAAACAGTGTTCAATATTTCGATCTGCAAACTGCAGAAAAGCTTTACACGGCCAGAGCCCGTCCTCTTTAAAACCGTGCTCATCTCCAATACGCTTCGTCTCATCGAAGAAGACATTAGAGAAGAACGGAGGAGTTTAGAAAAAAATGATTTGAACGGACCTAGCGACGAGGAAACATTCGCCAGAGTAGTCAACATGCACGAACCAACGAATCGCTCCGGTCTTAACATCGGCACGCGATCACGCGACGCCTGTGAAACTTCGAAAAGTTCTCTAACTTTTGAACAAGAACTGAATATTCTGGGCGACAAAATGGTGAAAGAACTTGAGCTGGACATGGAAAAGTCTAAGCTACTCGAAGTGTCCGCCAAAGAAAAATCAGAACTACTCACTCAAAGCCCTTTAACGCGCTCTGCTGCCGATTCGAACAACAATAACCCGGGGTTCGAAGAACGTGAAAGAGCGGTCACCTCCAACTCGGATGAAATCATTCGAGAATTCACATGCGGCAGTCTATTGGGATTGGAATTAACCGAAGAACTGGAGTTTAAAGACGTAGATGTTTCGCTCTATGACTTCGACGTTCCAAACGGATCGTTTCCGATAGATTTTGACGAGTTTTGCAGCGTGTGGAATCTTGGATCAACCAGTGTAGCAGCGCGGAGTTTGCCCAGCAGATGTAGTGACAGCGTAAAGCTTGAGCGAGCAAACGAACATAATTTTGACGATCTCGACCAAGTTATGCAAATTTTAGTGGGATCTTAGGTAGCTGTAATTTTTACAGGACCCTAAATGCGAATGTCGTTTATTTGAATTCGTTGCAAATTTAAGTCAAATGAGTAGAATCTATTCAGAGAAAAAGAGAGTTAAGAAATTTTAACATAGTTGTATCAGTTTTAGCATGTGGGTATAAGGCTATTTATAGTCGGCGCTGCCGATAGAATCCACAACTTTTTATATGCGATGCAAATAAATATTTTATGTGAATTTGGAGATGTATTTGAAGTGGTAAGAAGAGAGTATTTTTTCAGCATATTTGTAGGTAATTTATACTGTATTATATGACATGAAATATGAACTTTTTAACTCGCCAAGCTTTGTAAGTTTTGCAAGCATGCAGCTAATTAATTACTTGTTGTCCATACGGATCAAGCTATCCAGCTAGTTAGAGAATATTTTATGAACTGGAAAGTATGGAAGTAGCATGCCAGACCTCTCAATGAATGTAGTAAATTATGCGACCTTTTCATCTTCTTGATGTTCTGTTAATTTATGATTCTTGCATAAGACAATTGCTAGGAAAATGGCTGAAATGACTTTGAACTAGACTAGTTTGTTATAATAATTTTATTCAACACATTGATTTAATTCATTTTAATGAATAGGAAATTGCTCAATAAATTATCACTTGTTGAACAGCTGTGGCTTTGATGGCTACTGGTTGCATATGTCAAAAAAATCATTCTTGTGTAATATAAACTCCATGAATGAAGAGAGTAAACATTTACATGGCTAAAGAATGGATGAACAGTGCACATGATTTTTGAAAATAAATTATGAGGTTTCCTTGGAACCATGGTCACCTGTCCAGTGTCAAGTCTTCAAAAGGTGGACTTAAGGTTGGTGTCTAAATTGAATGAATGATGTTTCCTTGGAATCATGGTCACTTTCAAAAGGTAGACTTGAGATTGGTGTGTTATAGTCAACTGCTCTTGGTGCACTTGAGGCAACTCCCCTTAAACCAGAGTTTATTGTTATCACCACAGAGATTCATGTTCTACTAAACCCAGTGACAACGACAATTGTGGTGTTGCAAGATCTAACTGGGTTGATATGCAAAGAGTGGATTAAATTTAATCACCTGTTTTCATTCACCTCACCTAAAAGTAGTGATCCACTTCTAAAAATTATTCCTTTGGATAGATCATAAACTAGGATGTTTCCCATGAGTCTGCCACTGATTACTAGCACCAAAACTTAGAGTTATTTCAGCATATAGTAGTTCCACTTGATGGTTTGCACAAGGCTTGCACAGAGCAAAACTGTGCATCTCACCCTCCCAACTAAGAAATGTCTGACACATCAACCATACCATATTGTCTTTCTCCTAAGGGAGAAAATGTATTTCTCATTATGCAAAGTAGTGCAATCTAAGGGATGAAATCTGGAGAAAGACAGGGAGGAAAAGATGTCCAGTAATTGTTGAGGACTCTCTGCTCTTATTTACAAACAAGTGCTATTTCCTAGACTTAATCCTCAGTTAAAAGGAGTCTGCTCAAGCACCTCAAATAACCTTGGCCAAGGCAGAAGAAATTGTTTGTTCTTTGACACAAATGCAAAGGTGACTGTCATGGTAAAATAACATATTTTTGTAAACTCAGTTCTGTCAAGATTAGGGAGATGTTAACCTGTGTGGACCAGGATTGTCTTAACCCTTTCCACCCTAACATCAGTATGAATATTCTCCATCCTGTTCTCTATACATTCCTTAAGGTGCTGATGAGGAGAATTTGCTTTAAAATCCAGAGTTTCTCTAGTTGGTGAATGTTTGATTCAGAGGTGATAGTGTAAGGAGAAATTAGATGCTAATCACTCTAAGGGGTTAAAGGGTAAATGTTAGTTTCCTGTAATTAATCTAAACATTTCATCTTTTGAACCAGCTGGTTGCTAAATTGAGAAAAATCCTGACTTGGCCACTTACAATTTCCCATGCTTGGGCTAGTGTTCACTATTTCATTCCCAAAGTCCTCATCAGGTATTTTACATAGTCTGTTCTTGTTTGTGGTGGTGAGTAACAGGGTTCGGTTTGAAAAATCTCAATTGCCCAATCAAAAGGGCTCCTGGTTGAAATACATCTACATACGTGTATCTTTTTGTTCTGCATGGAACATAACATATTCATACCAAGGTTACCTCTAAAGTGAACACAATAAAAATATCCTCTTATGAAATGTGATGTTTTATTGAATTCACAGTTTTCATAAGGTAGATTTTTTAATGAAAAAATTTATGTATGAAGGGGTAGAAATGTTTAAAATAGTTTAATATACAAAGAGCTGAACCATCTAGCACCTTACACATCATCAAAAATGAACTTACATGGAAGCACTTTAAACACTGACAAATTTAGTAATGAGAATATGCTGGTAATTAAATTATCAGAATATAAAATTTATGTAATGATTAATACTGTGGAGGTAGAAATTTAACAAAATAATATAGTACTGAGTGAACTAAATTTTCTGACTTTCATTCAATTCTATTAATAAAATGAGAACACAGAGGTTGAGGCTACATGATGAAACAGAAAATATAGATTGAAATTCAACTGTTGAATTCGAGGAATATCACCTTTTGTGTCCTCAGTGTTATCATTTGTTATTAATTTTCAATTCTTAAACACAGTCTGCAAAATGTACCTTAACCTGTACAACTCTCACGTGATAAAAAAAGGAATAGATAAATTATTCTTAAAGGACAATATGGTATTAGATGGACCAAAACTTAAGTACTCCAGCATTAAAGCCAAAAATCACAAAACTTTTTTTATAGACACACTTTTCAATGAAAATAAAATTTCTCCAAACTAAAGTAAAGAAACATAATGTTTCAAGTACAAGGAAGACAATATTTTTGCCCAAAACTTTTTCAGCAACATTATAACATACCGCTACTAACCAAAATAGGAAGCTGTGATTTTAACTCTCAGCCAAAAAAAAAAGACAATTATTTCCATGGTCCTTTCCTAGAAAAATTGTTTAAGTATTGTAAAACAACAGAATCTGTTGTTAAAAAAAATGTTGGATCTCATGTTTTTCCACCCCAGAAACTATGCACTTAATTATACTTTCCCAACAATCCTATGGTCTGTTTTGCACTTACACCATGTATAGGAAGTGAAGTATATAGAAAAAATGTTTTCTTTAGCATAAAACAAACTCTGAAACATGTTACATGGGAATAAATATATATTTTTTTAAAATAAAGAGTTTTTCCCAACAATTCACCACTGATAATATCAAACAAGAAAATAATTAAGTTAGCTAAATGCTGCTCTGATATTTCTAATACATTTCTCTATCTTTCAATTGCATTGCAATGTGACAGATATATCACTCATAACTTAGCTTTTTAGGAGGATCTAAACATGATTATAAATTACTATATTAAATGCATCTAAATATGATCAATTAAGTTGTTAGATTCCCATAAACCAGCCCTAACAAATACTTTGTGTCAAACTATACACTTTGAAAGTTCAGAACTCTACAATACACAAAACATGTATACAAATGTACATGTACACCTTTCAGTCACACTAAGATGCTATGCACTTTTATATTACCTCTTTCAGTAACTCTACAAGATATAATAGCCATTTTTCCTCTGACTCTTAAATACACTTCTATCTGGTAATCTCAAATTTGGTTATCCTGTATGTTGCAATTCATTGCTGTATGACAGCAAACCTAGAGAGTGTAGTAGTTAAAGTTGTTGTAAACAGTTCTTACAACTAATTTGGAAACTTAAACAAAAAAAAAAAAAAAGAATTGTTTTGATTGAGGTCCACATAACCATATTGCTACCTCAAGTTTGTCTTTCCAAGTAAAGCATGTATTTGTTCTTTGACCAAAAATTAAATCCATAATTTTCAACCATCAGACCAATAAAAACCAAGTAAAAACACCCTTCCATTTTATCAACACTCAGATACCACAACAGGAGGAAACTGTCTCACACATTTACTACCAAATAGCTATACACCCATTTTCAAGAATGTTGGAGTTTGAAAAAATGTCAGAAATATAAACACCTTTTATTTCCTCATCAAAAAGGTATGAAGAAAACAAAAGGTATATTTGTTGTGTATATTTTCAAATAACACCATTTTTGAAAACAGGTGTATATTTATATATTGGCATTCAAAGATGTTGTTTTTAAACATCATCATTAGTTCAATTTTAGATGTCCAATTGTATTGCTATCTTAAGTTTCACAGTTAATATTCACAAAAATAGCAATATTAAGCTTTGGATGAGGTATGTACTCAGCATGTCTTCAATTTTACATCTGAAAGTTCTGAGCAAATTATGAGACTAAGTGTCAATATATTCAGATGAGTTTTTAAACCACATGTGACAGAAGAAACAAACATAATAACACTGCTATTGATAACATTCCAAGGAAACAATGTCGTGATAAAAAAAGCCACTTTCAGTAACAATTCCTCCGAAAAAGTTTAGACATTTTAGGTGTGATGTAAAATCGAGTGTTGATTTTATCACTGCAGAGAAGACTCTGTCCATAGCTACATGTGTGTGTAGCCTAATTTGGTATTATAAGGTAAAGGAAACGACCTGTATACAGGAGTGTATCCTGTTTTCCAGTAGTGCCAGTGTCTACAGACATGTAAAACGGTCATCTAGAAGTAAATATAACGCTACATATCAAGATTGTGTTCTTGAATTGAAACAAATGTAAGAACAAGTGCCATGCAGCCGTTGATTGCAATGCAACAAAAAAATTTAACCCTCAATCGATAAAATATTACTGAGCCATTACTGAATAAATGAGAATGAATTGTTGGGTTTGAAGTCGTGATCTTTTTTCAATTTACATTTTTGGCGTAGTTTAAAACTCCATGAAGGTTGTGACCTCACATACAGGAATTAAATGCAGCAGCTATGTCCACGCAGAAAAGTGTTACCTTTCCATGTTTTAGTTCAAACATAGCGAGAGAAAAAAGCATTGATTTCCTTTCTAGTTTCACAGATAAACCTCCTTCCGAAGTTAAGTGCGTTGTTCATTACCAAATTAAAGGTTAAATCTTTTGATATATCGCGTGTGTCATAACATCAACACAAAGAACTACGTTTAAACCAGATCTCTATGTTACAAGGGTATACAAATTGTGATTTTGTACAAAACGTTCGGCACAAATATTCACTGTGGCTTCATAACTTACTAATGGCTGATTTGATTAAGTTAATTTTCCATTTATACATAAAATATCTCCTTATTCGATCGACAATCTGCGATATCTTATGTACTAATCGACATAATCTGCTCTTTGTACAATACGTATAATATAAATATATGTTGACCTTGGAGGTTCTATAAATTAAAATAACTCCAAGGTGCAATAAACAAAAGTTTTACAAACATTTGCGATTTCCAAAAGTATCTAAAAATTTCAGACTCACGTCTCCAAGGCACATATGTAGCTATGAAAAACACTGTCCAGTTCGCCGAACAAGGATTCCCTATCGCAAGCAATTTCTTCGGCATCTTCGAACACATCGTCGTCTACGTCCTCCGGGAAAGATTCAGAAATTGTACAACTACCACGCAAGTTGTCATTGGCCATTAACGATGAAGAGTTTTCAACACAATTTGTCCTGGAATCACCCGTCGCCACGTTGTTGTCAAAACTTAATCTTATCACTTTAGGATGTGGCGGCGAAGAATCCTCTCTCGTGGTCGCCTCCGGTGGCTGTAGAGTTATTACACTGCCGCAAACAAACGGGTTTTCTTCTGCGTAGATCTGCTTGTGAAGCATCTTCAAGGTATTGTTTATTAAAACTGTACGCCTGAGACAAGCTTCAGGATCTTCTAATCGACGCAACTTTTCAAAAGTGACTTGTAATATAAAGCGACGTTGATCAACAAGTGATACAACAGAGCTTTCGCTTTCTACGACAACTTTGCTGGACTCTTTCCTTTTGATTCCTCTCTCTTTGATCCGATATATATCTGTGAAACGGGAGATGAATAAGTAAATAGGTCAGGGCACAAATATTAAGTGCTATTTAAATAGACCAAGACCTTTTCAAGGCCGAACTTTGCAACATTAAACAAGAGAACACAAAAGAATCGTACTTAATTCAAACAAATCAGGCAGGGTGATCACTGCATACGAATTAGGGATGAATGTAGGCAGTCAACCTTTCGCTGCACTTTTCATACGTAATAAGGTTTTGTTCTAAGATTAAAAAGAAAATGGGAATTCAATTAGATGTGAAAGAATTGTCTTACCTTTCTCCCCTGGGTTCGTACAAAGAAAATTAAGTTCTTCGGATTGAGTTTCCCATTCTTCAGACAGGAATGTTTCGTCTTCGTCCAAACACTGATCTTCCATCGTAAACGACCACAAATTTGTCATGGGAATTACAAGGGTCATTCCACATCGCCTAAATAAGACCTAAAACGTGCGAGAAAATTTTATTAGTGGAGAGTAAATATAGGCATGATGCATCATAAACTTAACGCCGCTTTCATGAAAAGTTAAAAAAAATTGTAACTCGCGCTGTCATTGTCAGCGACGGCAAAAGGCGAAGGAAAAATATTGACACCGCATTCTCAAATTGGTTTATCGGCGCCGCATCACAAACATACCTACACTAACAAATACGAGAGTAAATAGCCTAAGAGATTCCGCAGTTGAATGAACAAACTTCCTCGGTTACTATTAAACTGATGAAGCTACATCCTTTCCACTTTGTTGTCCTCAAAACACTAATCAAAACCATCAAAATCATTAAAAATGAAAGTTGCTTTAGCGTGCCATTATTCCAGCCCATTAAAGCTTTTCTACGCTTCACAAATTACCAAGCATCATCAGTCGTACAAAAAATTATATCAAAGCCGTAAGACCTTCAATGAAGATAAAAAGGAACTAATCTGGATGTTTTTGACCAAGCAGCGGCAGATGTCTCAAAGGAAAACTTCAATGCTCTGTTTCACACACAGCCTCGCACCACCACCCTTGTCACAAATCGACACTTGATTGGCTTTCGCTGTATTGAGCGGGCTTCTCTATTGTTTTCAGTGTCAAGAGCTTGTCAACACACCTGTCGATGTTTGTCAAAACGAGCCAATCGGAAGTGTTGGATTCCGGATGCATAGTGGCTTGAATAATAATTGTCGCTTTTGCGATTTTACCCGTTTTACGATCGGTTCATCCTAAATATTTTATGCAATGGTTGTAAGCACGCATCATTTATTTAAATGAAACTCATGTGAGCATTGATCTTTTTCACTCCATGTTTTTGTTACGTAATTAGGTCATTAAAAACATCCACTCTTCGATAAGAAATCGCGCGGGTGTATTTTGATTTGAGTTTGATGAGACATAGCATTAATATAAATATCTCTTCCTTCCAGACAGCGTAAGTGTTGGCAAATTTACTGCTACTCCACAGGAAGACCTATATTTATTACGCAAAAAAAAAGTGCCTTCGATCTTTGCACATTTTTTGAGATTTAGAACAAACTGGGGAAAAAATAACGATCTTGCCTTCGTCTCACTAGCTAGGAAAAGGTTTTCATCTTAAATCAGCGATCTAGCGAGTTTTTCGGTAAATATATTATTCACAAGAAATAACAATTACTCAGCGACATAGAGGAAAGTTTTCCGAATTAATTCATCAAAGAAATTGGTTAAAAATGACGGGAAAATGGGAGGAAAATGAAATTTAGCGATTAGTTCAAAGGTACACCAGGGCGAACTGCAATGAACGGATGAAAAGGATAAAAAAATCAGTACCATCCTTTGTAGGAGTGTAGGCCATACAAGGCTGTGTATTAAGTCAGTACTTAACGTGTAAATACAAAGGAAAATAAAAGCAAACAATCGTGCGAGGACAGCTTTTCTACACACAAACTGCTATCTTTCATTACAGCGCGTCAAAACTATCGATTTCGTATTTAATTCAGCACAAATATTGGGAAAAAAATTAATGACAAATGTATTTTGAATGAATTTAAGTAAAAGCGTTATCTTACTTGGAAAGAATCAAGAGAAACATTTCGACTAATAAACAAGATAAACTCAACAATTTGTCTTGAGTCATTCAGCTCGACCCTCGCTACCGAGGTTCCCCGCTCAGTTGAGCAAATACTGCAGTTTGAGATCTTTACGCTGGATCATTCCAGGAAAACGGTGAAAAACAATTGCATTGAAAACTGATTATTTGCGAATAAAAAAGAGCTTTCCTAAGTACCAGCGCTACAAATTACTTCATCTCGCCGATATCATCAGATTATTTGTTAGACGGAAAGTAATAATTTGAATTTGAACAAAAGTGAAAACCCTCTCATGCAACAATCGTACGCTACATGCTCTAAAACTCCAAAAAGTTACTACTGCTTTGCCATCTACAACAAACTTGAAAAAAAAGCGATGGAGCAAATTCAACCCACCTTATCAATATAAAGAGGTTTTCTCGATTTGATGCAAATATTTATCAGATTTCAGACAGAAAGTTATGATTTGTATTCGCAATCCCTGCGTGGCCATGTGTAATGTTGAAGTCTGGTGCATTTCATTAGCGAGAGCTAATTGCAGATGTGACAAAGAAAGCCAATAGAATTTCGCATAGGGAATTACTTTCGCATCTCATAACTTATCAAACAATACGGAGATCTCCTTTATTAAAAATTCATTGTTTGCTGATCTAAGCTGGCTGCCAATAACATGTCCACTCGCTTAAAAGGAACAATATTCATGGAGAAAATTAAGACAAATGTTAACATAATATTCAAATATGCACGCGAAAAACGTTAACGAAATATGTTATATTTGCTTCAATTTTCCTCTAAAAGAAATCTATATCAGTTTTAAAACTGCTATCATAAACATGGTGTGAAATATTAATTCAGAAATCGAAAACTTTGCAATTCAGAGCGGCTTGACTAAATCAAAGTCAAGCAGTAATTTCAGACGCAAAATTTATTAAAAGCTGGGCAACGTAGAAAGTAAACAACACGTGATGTTCTTGAGAAAACTTTAATTCACAAACATCATCTAATGTTTACCTAATTATTTCGAGCTAAAATGATGTCAGTTTAGCGATTGGAAGTCATCTTTCTGTGTGTTTATGGTGTAGAAAGGCGCAACACGAAAGATAATTTCGGAATTACTTTATTTATTGTCAGCTTACTTGTAGCGCAATTGAACAGAAAATTATAAAAACTAATTATCTGTAATACTTTTGAGGTTGTGAGGTTTCCCTAGTGATGGCTTTCAAAGCAAAAACGAGTAAACTAATACTACGTGTCACAATCTTGCTAAAAATAAAAACACGTTTCTCCTCACGTACAACTGAAAAATTGAGTTATTCGCCCATTTGACAGAATCAACAATTTTCATTCTTGTTCTTTGGAAAAATCCATATTCAAACCATTGTGGTCATATAAGCAATTAATAAGACAGTTTTTGGCAACTAGTTCATATTCCCTCATTTAAATGTTCTCCAACTAATTTCAGTTTTATACTTAATTTGTAATCATTTGATTAATGATCTTCAGTTGCATACTGGTGCTTGATTCCGAATGTCATTTTTCACCGGTTGAGTGTCGTATGACCAAACCCCAAGTGATCATAGCGACCGATAAGAACGAAAAAAATCACAATACGGGCACATAAGAACCCTGAGTGAATGTCGCTGGAGTCATGCACGGGAAAACGCACGCGACCAATTGATTTCTAAATTCTGCGTCTGATTGGTTAAGGGAGTGAGGTAAGTATTCTGAACCAATCAAAAAACACTACGGTGGCCCACAACTGTCACGGTAAAAGAAATAACTTCTCAGCAAAGAAAAATACTCACGGCAAAATGAAGAACCTCACGGCTAAAAGGAAAAGCCTCACGGCTAAAGAAAAAACCTCACGGCAAAAAGAATAACCTTCACGGCAAATTAAAAGTAAAAGACTCACGGCTAAAGAAATAACCTCTCGGCAAAAAAAATAACAATGTTTTCGCGGCATAAAAGAGAGCGTGGGGACTGGGAGGTTTTTTCTTTTGCAGTGAGTCTTTTTCTTTTTGCCGCGAGGTCTTTCATTTTTTCGGTGAGTCTTTTCTTTTGACCGTGAACGTAACGGTTATTTCTTTTGCCGCGACAGTTGTAGGCCACCGTAAAAAACATGTTTCATTTTGCGGGTTGAATGGCCCGTATTCAACTAAACGATCGAGGGGCAAATGAGGCGAACGAAATTTACTACAAAACTTTCCATTTTCTAGCAAATCAAGACAGAAACAACAGCATATTGAGCAAGAATCATCTTTTATTGCACTGTTGTTGCATATTCCCATTTTTTATGTAATTCTTTGATATATCTGCATGGACTAATGTCCTCTCACACCAGATGTCATGGTTAGATAGCCTTATTTTTCTCTTATCACCATTTTTTTCACATTCTTCGCCGACCATATATAATAGGCTTTTATTAGCTCTTTTTCTCAAATGGAAATTATAAAACTAATATCAACTAACGACACTCATATTATATATTCTTTCTCTCGATTAAGCCAGACGTTACAAGTAATTTCCAATGAAAACAGCGCGCTTCTTTACCATATTTTATTCTTTCAGAAAAGTTGTGTAGCTCTACAAACAATTAAGCAAAGAATTGTACATCAGTTTGTTGGTAGCTTCCTTTTAAATGAACGAAAACAAACACCTAAAAACAAAACTTCAAAGAAATAAGCATATTCTGTTACTTGGCCTTGCCATTTGATGACAACAATTCAAATGAGTTACAGCCATGGAATATTTCAATTCCTGAGTTTTAATTGGTTAACATAGCATGGTATCTGAGCTAATATACCATGGGCCCCTTTCGAGATACAAGATTTTGAGATACCTCTTTTGCCTTTTTTAGTTATTTCAGTTATTTCATTTCCAGTCGTTGAATAAAAGACAGTTGGGGCCAACAAGGCACACATTTTAACATCCACCATCTCATATCCACCGCCTGCTCATGGAATAACTGTTAACATCAACACGTTTGACGAATATATACACTGAGCTTGGCTCCAACAATTATAAACATTCCTACGGTCCGTACAGGACAAGTAAACTTTATCTTTTTTCCTTTTTAATTTATCTACGAAATGTATAACTAACTAAACCGACGCATCAACGACGGAAGAAAAGTAAAAACTTTTATTATGGAGTGAACACTGTTACATTGACGAACAATCCGCCCTAGTGAATCTGTTCAACACCACTAGTCACAAAAGCCACAGGGGGTTATTAACACGAATCGACGATTTACAATGTAAGTTTCACCTCTTACTCTTTTTAGTTTACGAAGGAGATTGAATTTTGTAGCGAGTTTTTAGTGAGTTTGTAGTTAGTTTATAGCATGGAAGAGCCATCCCTCCGATGGATATGCTAATAAACCATTATTATTATTATTATTACTATTATTGTTATTATTTTAAAGTACTATTTTAGTCAACTTTTCTGTTTTCGGCACATATACGCAATCAAAATTAAAGAGTATTTACAAGCCAACATCTGATATATACACTTACTAAACAAAAACTACACGAGTGTTATGGATAGTGACATCATAATAGTCCAACGGTGGAGCCTGGAACCATTGGCCACTCGGCACTCTCTAGGTCCCAGACTTTGACGTCCACTGCCTGTCCAGTGGCAGATGCTCTACTTGGGGCATCACATGTGATACCTTTTTGTATGACTATGGCATTGATGTAACTCGCCATAAGCAAGGTGATTTCCAAAATCTGTAACAGAAAAACAAGTTTCAGCACCGTCTATTGCAAATAATCTACACGAAGGCTGGGAAAAGGGGAACAAACAATCGGTTTTTGCTTCGCATCTGATTGGTTGAAAATTTGGCGCCACTTTTCTTGACCAATCACGGAGCGCAGAGAAGCAAAAACAATACAATCCAATTGAATTTATAATTTGATTAGAATTACCTTTGCTCTAGGCATGACAAACAGCAACCTCTGGGTGCCCTGCTCAACTGTGTTTCCGCCACGCATGATAGACTGGTTCACAACTAACATGAAGTCTTCTTTCCACCCACCAAATGTTACTACGTGCTTGTATCTATAGCGGCACATCAAGCGCTGAAAAACCAGAAGAAGGAGCAACATTTAATCACCCAAAACTTTCCTAACCAAGAGCACTTGTCAACACCACCTAGGGAAACTGGGCACATGAGTTGGGGGAGGGCGGGGGAGGGGGTTAGGTCTACTATTGAATAGATTTGATGAGTTTACGGGATCTTAGCGCCTTGAGAGGATCATTTCATCATCTAACAATTTTGTTCAATTTTGGGACAGTAAGACGAGAAAAAGCGAGCGGGTGAGCGAAACGAAACAATGACTCTGACAAACACAAGCTGAACTGGCAAACTTACCAAGCTGTTTCCTTCCAGAAGATTAATACTGTCCTCTTCCACTGCCAGCCACACTGGCTGGGTATTGTCTACAGGCGCAGCGCGTTTTTTTGCAGCGGAAACCGTATTTTTTTGCTGTTGGAATGAAATAGTTAAAGATCAGTACGCTGTTAATACTTGGGTTTTTGCTAAGCTACAGGTGAAAAAAGTTAATTCACGCAGCAGACCACGTCAAGCATAAATGGCTGCTGAAGTTTATCAAGGTTTTCACAACATGAAGTGGTGAGAGTGAAATGTCTCTCAAACAAAGAAAATACTATGGGCTGACCTATTAAGCGGGAGTTCAGCGCACTGCCTATTAAGTTAGTCACCACATCGCGCACTGGGGTTAAATTAAAACAATTATGAATATCGCTACTGCAAAATACGTAATACAGGTCGCCTTGGGAAACAATTTGCCTCTACTTTACTGTGAATCTCGCCTCAAAAAGATTGGTATCCCAAACCTGTGCTTGGAAGAGCCTGCATCCGAAAAACGGCCATCGCCTTGCATTCTCGAGATATTTGTCCACGCACTCTTTCACGCTCCAACCGTGCAGCGTCGACCATTTTTCGGCCATGCGCAGTGTGAGTGCCCTAAAAGGAGTAGAGAAAGTTGCAGTCAGGTTGACGAAAGTTTTAAGTTTGCTTCCTAGTCCTTTTAAATCTTCTCCGTCATCAGTCATCCTGGATCTTTCGTGGTCTCCTTCGCTACTTAACTATTCAATTCACAATTTTAACGTGTACTTCGTTCCGAACTCGAGAGAAAAATTTTGGCTAACTATTTGCAAGCAATTTGTTGCGAGTTGCCCACCTTTTTCCTGTGTCTTCCCGCAGCGTTTTAACACAAAACTTGGTGATAACAATCTCGATTCTCTTGCTCGGCAGTGAATTGCTCTGTGCTCTATAGTCACCATAAGAGATCTGATGAAAACAAACGCCATTTCTCAGTCAAAACACTTACAAATTGTTGTCAAGAAGTCAACAAACGTTTGTCTCCTTCGCTATCAATCTCCAGGATGTCACTCAGTACTCCCTTTTGGACGAAACATTACCTTAAGTCCTCCCCCTCTTCAACCCATACCCCTCCCCCCCCCCTGCAAAAAAAAGAAAAGAAAACCAAACAAAAACTAACGCGAAGGTGAGTAAAAAAGTTAATTAGAAATTTCCAATACCTGGGCCATAAGCGCTGCAAATTCCAAAGCCATCTCCTTGCTGACAGGAAATCGGCCCTTAACAATACTATCATTTGTCTGCAATTCAAATGAGCATAAAATTCAAAACAACAATTACGTTATTGGCATATCTAATGAAACGGAACCCATTCCGAACCACCGTCGATCTCATACGCGAATATCACGGATATTGCGCAAGCGTTTGTGCAGAAATTATGTCTGTAACGAATATACCAGTTAGAAGATTAAAGACATTTTACGTAGTTTTGAAACAAAGATGGAAGACAATTCAATGCACAGAGAGTTAAATATTTCATGATACGAAGATGAAAAGAGGTTATCATTTTTTCTTTGATTAAAGGTCTTAATTACCTGGAGTACAAGGAAGTACTTTTCTTTGTCTGTTTCTCCGCTGCTGAGGCTCTTGAAATGTAACCTAAACAATTTACAATTGACAAAATTTGAAGATGATTAAATCCTTTCCAATCATATTTCCTACTTTCTCTGTTCACTCTCCCTTAACAACCATACATTTTCCTTGAAATCAGCCAGAACACCAACACGACGCAAATATCCAGTTCGAATTCATGCTTGCACACGGATGTTCACAAAATAATCAAACATTCAGTCTATCAGAAGTGCACTTTCTCTCTGGGCCCAACTGAAAACCACCTTGCGTAACGTAGACTCACTGCCCTAACCTTTCTCGCTAACATAACAGAAAAAAAGGACCTGGATTGCTAGACCGCTAGAAAATTCACCTGTTCTTGTAGGTGAGTTTGATCATCCTATTAGTGTCCAGTTTCCCTTGGCTTTGACTTCGTAACGCTTGTTCCCATTTCGAAATCACGTCACACAGCTGTGGAGACAATGGTAACAGAGAAGGACGTCATTTACAAAAGTGTATTGAAAAGTGTATTGGAAGAAAAGGAAGGAAACTTGAAACTTCTTAAACTCAATCAATCTCTGCAACAAACTGCTCATCCGGGCACACTTACTTCTAGTTTACAAGGGCCACTTATGAGTTTGGCACCACGTTAGTTTGATGACTTTAAGAGGCACCTAAGTCTCGCGCTAAGGACTTTCGGAAGCGTGGAAGTCAAACAGACGCAGCAATTGAGCCATGTTTGAAAAAGGTTAACGGAAACGTAGAAATTACTAACCTTGACTTTGGCTTGTAAACAATGTTCTACTAAGTTAAAAGGATTATCCGTGAAGAGTGCATATCCACTTTCCGAGGACGAGCGAATACCGACCATCTGCAAGAGATAATATTTATCAGTTTCAATAAAAACAAGAACGAGCCACACCAATTACAGTATCATGAGCAAAACCATACTCAAATGCACGGTTTCACTCACAGTTCCTCTCCTATTCTTGTCCGCCATCGCAGCATAAAATTTACTTAAGAAACAAGGCGGCCGTATCCATCTCATGTTAACTGAGCCATTTGGCCGGTTCCGAGTTATGGCACGTGCCTTAAAATAAATGATCTATTGTCTTCAGTTGACTTACTCTGTTAATTGTCTCCGAAAACTCTTGAATGGTAGTGGAACCATCAAAACCAAATACCTAACAAGTGAAATGAAGAGGAGAAAAAGAAAGATATTGACCAGCTGTATCAGGCGTGTGACCGGAAAAGAAAACGTAGAGGTGAATAAATAAACAAGAGGTAAACAAAAACGAGAACTCGTTCTAACTGAGGGAATACAATTTCTTCCCAGCGTGTTTTTTCATAAATTCGGCACTTAATACAGACAGAAGGATTTATATCGTTTTGGCAAAAAAGAAGGAATTTGTCCGATGATCGTTTTTGAAACTTACTTGACTAGATCCATCGATAAAGTGCACTGGAATGCTCATCAGACATGAGTGATCATAAGGTTTCCGCAGCAAGATTGAGAGAACCTGGGCAAAACATAAACAACAAAGGAGTTCTTCAGAAAACTGTCAACATACAGATAATCACTCTGACGAAAAGCTTACGCTCGAAACGTCAGTTTTAGAATGTCTTTACGGTTGCCAATTCACATTATCAACCCAGTAGATAAAATAAAATCATCTTATCTCAAATTATTCCACGCACGCAGCACCGCAGACAATCGCATATCTCAAGCAATCATGTTTCTAATCATACGGTAAGCCTACACTAGTTTGGTGTTTGTCTCTTACACATGCAAATTACCCACTCTCTACTGTTTCCCTTCAATATATCCCTCTTCATTCGAGCGGAAACGTTTCATTCAACTGATCCGCACCCCAAAATTTGAAAACAAAGGTCTCTGGTTTTCTAATTTCTGCCATCTCTTTAAATCGGCTTTAATCTGCACTTTAAAGTATGTCTAGAAATTCGTCTATTTCAGGGCTTAAATGTAAGCCATCCTCACTAATCATCATCAGATCATTTAATTGACGGTTATGTTTGTCTCAGAGTTCCGCAAAATCTTGCCAAAACGACCGTACCTCCAGTCTCGACGGTCTGGCTTCTCGTTTCCCATTTCGCAAACTTCTCTCTAAGCTCCGAATACAGTAAGTTGCGTATTTTCCAAGTTTTGTTCTACGCAGAGACAAAAAGAAGAAAAGGTGAGAATCAAGGTGGTGAATTATGTCAAAAAAGATTGAAAACCCGATAAAAGGATGTCGAGGCACCCACAAAAACCAACATTCAAACATATGTAGCGGTTTAAGTTTCGAAAACAAAGGGAAATGAATTGCCGGTACCAATCGCACTTACTTCTGTTTGAAAATTGAGGTTTAAAGCCAATTAAATAAATAATAATTTAATTTTAAAAAAAAACACTCAAAGAATGCCCCCAGAACACCACTTTTGTAGTCGTTGTTTTGGTTGGAGCTGAGAGACGTAATAAATGTGTTCCCACCCAAGTACATTGTACTTACTTAAAAGTGGACGTCCGATTCAAATGTCCCTTGAGGAAGAGAAGGAACTTCTGTTTAGGGACAAAAAGAGCTGTGCATAGCGATAAGAGTTGCCACGCTTGAATGTAAACAAACTCTTGCACCGGACGCAAGTCGATGGTTGCTTGTGAGGCGATGTCAAATGACTCCTCCCTGAGCCATGAAGACTTGCCACAATGTTCCAAGAAGTGCTGAAGGAAAGAAAGTTTTGAAAAACTCTACAATTACGGTTTGTTCACAAATACAAGCAATTTGTGGCACAAACAAGTTTTAACTAGCGTCC